GAAAAGAAGAGAGTGGTGACTTTTCTTTTGCAGGGACGGGCAATGGTTGTGGATACCCTTGCAACGTCATCAATTCCCTCCACAATATCAACCTTCGCAGAACATCCTGTATTTAGACGTTGCCGATTCCAAACTGGACCACCAAACCGACAGTGCTGGTCTAGCTTCCTCAAGGATGAGTTTTGTCTTGCTTCTACCCGCTTTGTCGCTTTGGTACCATTTGTTGTTGTGGTTGTTACTGTTTTCTGGTGACGGCACTCTGCAATAAATTTGGTAATGCCGACATGTTCATCGAATGGAGAGTAACTGTCCCTCCATTCATGGTTAGCTAAAAGCCAATGGCTAGCCAACAGGTAGACAACTTTGTGAGGGCAAAGCCAACATTTACAGCGGAGGGTGAATGGCGAGACATGCTATCGAGGATGGAATGAAGGAGGTCCGAAAGTTCCAAATTCCCACGAAATCATAGGGTGGATATAAGAGCTAATGAAAAGTTTATCTATTTGGAGAGCTTTCGAAAAAGTGAGCAAATATAATCTTAAAACTAAAACGCACTGTATCCCCCGTGGGACATCCTTAAGAACTAGCAATTAGCTAGATACTGAGTAGATGTTTTAGTCTCAATCTCTCAAGCTGTTTATCGTTTTTATCTATCATCAGATTCTGTTGATGGCAAAGCAGCCAGTAAGCTGGCAGCCAGTACCACCTGTAAAGCAGTCGGAGAGAAATAAGTCAAGGAGGAAGGGGACTGTGACTGGCGCATGCTCCGAAGCTGCAGACGGAAAGAAGGAGACGTTCGAGAAGAAAGAAGCAGCTTGGCAACTCATCAGAAACACGTTGCAGGCGGCAACCGTGTAAATGCTGACAGAGCATCGAAATTGCTTTGGCAGCACGCTTCACGTTCCAAGACGTTCATCAAAAGCAACCAAGGTTTTAAGCTGTTGATCCAGAAGCCATACACTGTTTGACTGCCTGGTGAAGACATTGGTATTGATTCGATTCGATTCTGTTCATGATTTTGGGTATTGACTTCGTTCGGTTGCCAAAGCTGGACCAGGAGACTACGGGGGTAGGGACTAGCTTTGTTGCTTTCTGTTCCAAATTCTCGCCTGCTGGCGCACCATAGCTGAAACGTCAAATTGATGTCAGTTGCTTCAGAGAAGAAACATCCTGGCAGCAGCTGTGTGGTGTCGCTCATCCTGATCACGGCCAATGTCTCTCTCGCCTGTGGCCAAACGGCAGCTAAGCAGAGCGAGCGGGTAAAAGAATTCAAGAAGAATTGGAAGAATCCGTTTGGTATGATTGAATCCAGATGGATGGATCAACTTAGCTTGGTGGGGCCACCGGTACCGGTACCTGTACATCATGTTGCATCTTGCTTCCAGTCCTCGTCCTCCTTCTCTTAACAGGCGGCAGCCAGGAATAGCAACACGTTTGCTCTGCCAGTGGCTGGCTGCCTGTGCTTTCAATCTACCCAACCCTTGTGAACAGACTGTAGGCAAGAAGACATGATGGTACAATCGTAATTGGAAATAAACATTGGCATGTACTAGTAGTCTACATGCAGCGTCCTTCTTTGTTGGACCTTCAAGAGCTTCCGATACCCGTAGTTACTCACGCTGGTGGAACCTACCGGTACCATCGATCAGTCGCATTGTGAGCTAGCTCAACGTCCAGGAGTCATTCCACATGGCTTTGGACTCCTGCAAGTTGACCGCACTGCAAACCGGTACGGTTATGTTTATTGTTTAAATTCGAAATTTCGGGCAGAAGTACTTAAAGCACTGCGTTGATTGAACAAAATTGTACTTAACGCAACTACTTGATCTGAGTGATTGTCAGCTAAATGTTTCAAACTATTTTGTAATTCAACGCCTCACAATTTGGATTTTGGTTTGCTTGGTGCACCTCTTGATTCCTTCTGTTGTTCCGGCACCAGTGCGCCATCTTGATCATCATTTTGCGTAGCTGCTGTCGTTGTTGTATGAGTTGAGGTGACCATGGCGAGCAATCTGAGCAAAGAGGAGACGGAGTCTCTGTTGAGCAGCGGCAACAAGAAGAAGAGCAAGAGTCGCAATAAGAGAGAAGAGAAAAAAGCTCCAATCGAAAATGTCGAATTTTTGTCGTCGCCTGATCCCACTGACAATGACAAGCAAGGTTGGGGGAAGTCAAGTATTAGTAATGCCGGTGGTACTGCTGGTGCTGGTGCTGGTGCTGGTGCTGGTACAAGTACCACTGGCAAAGTGCAGAGCAGCCGCAGTCTGAACTCCGGCTGGTCTTACTCGACCAATTCCAACGCTGACTCTAACGCTAACGCTAATGGAGCTCCTTCCAATGCTGCAGCTGCTTCTGCCAATGCTGCCATTGCCATGGAGTATGGTTACCAACAGCAGCAGCAGCAGCAGCAACAACAGCAAGCTTTCTATGCGCAGCAATTCTACATGCAGCAGCAGCAACATGGTTATGTGCCTTGGCCTGCTCCTCAGTTCTCTCATGCCCATATGGCACCTTCAGCTTCTATTCCACAGGCTTACAGGAGGTCCAACAGTAACCCTAACAGTAACATCAACAGCAACATCAAAAAGACCATGAGCAATGGAAGTGAAGATGATGAACATGCAGCTCTCTTGCATCAAAAGTTTCAAGTCAGTAAGGGTTATGGTGGTTATGGATCAACCACCACTACCACCATTAATAACAACAATGACAATGGAAGAGTCTCACCTGTCAGCAATGCCAGCAGCAATCACAACAAACGGTCCATTCTAGTTCGCAAAGACAGTGCTGGAAGTGGAAAGATCCCTCCACCACCTCCTTCCAAGGCTTTTGCCAAACCCAAACATCGCAGAGCTCAGTCGGATGGAGTGTCTTTCAATCTTCCACAGGGATCCAACAACACCAATGTCAAGTCACAGCATCCACTGCATCGAACTACCAGCAAGGAAAAACCACCCATGTCCAAATCTCCTGGATTGCCGGTCAATCGAAAGGGAACCCCAAGCACTCATGCCAGTCCAAAGCCCAAACATAAACACAGTAGGTCCCTCAGTGCAGGGGGAATGACTGGTGGATTGCCTTTGGGGCTCAGTGAACATCGACGTACCCATCGCCGAGTGGCCAGTAATGCTAGTTCTGTTGGGGCCGGATCGGTCGCCAGTGAAGCCAGTTTCATGTCCATTACGTCCGACATTCGCAAGTCCACATTTTATGGTGGAGTTGATAAACCCACCGGTAAACCTCAGTTGCACTATCCCAATGAACACATTTTTGTTTGCACCGATGACCCCGCTTTGGTGGATGGCAAGGTATACAAGGTTGCGGTCGACGAAGAAGCCTTTGAAGAATACCATCGTCAAGCCGAAGATCGCATGTGGGAAGATGACCTAGAAGAAATGGAGTGCCAACAGCATCGCTGTACTTGCAAGTGTAATGTCTGTGTCGGCTGTGCCGGACATGGCACCAACAACCGTCGTTCCGTGCGCAAGGATCCCTTTAGTGCACTTCCTGCTAATCAGTTTGCCTTGGCCGTTGACTCCACCGTTTACAAGCGCGTTTTGGATGAAATCAGTCAAGCCGAAGTGATGCCCTGTGGACTCTTCTTTTGCGGACATCACGAAGATGTCGCGCATCCCAGTGTCAACATTCCGCTTACCATGGTCATTGCTTTGTTCTTGACCCTGGGCTACTTTGCCTGGACCTTGGAAGCCTAAGCACTCATACGGTACAAGAACATCATCATTGCACACACACACACACACATCAAACCACCATTATGACCTCATAACACCTTTTTCGTCCCAGAATCAGAGTTGTCCGTCCACAATCAAACAAGATCAGATCATGTGTGGAAGACTTCACTCTATCCTACGTTTCATTCCATCACAATTCTTCTGACTGTGTCTTTCTTCTTTTGCATCAACAAACAAGACCAATTAGCATTGATAAAGAGAGAAAGACGTAGTCTCATAGTTAGTAAGAAGAACATGCATATCTCGTAACCGTTGCCTTATTAGTAACTATCAATTTTGTCATCATTGTCCGTTGCTCCAACCTACATGTTGCTACCGTAGCATTAGAAGATCTTAGGATGATCGCCGACGTGAAGTTGTCTGTGCGATGAACAGGCCTGGACATAGCTGACTGAATGAATGTATCGTAGCATCCTAACTACACGGACGTTGTTGGTATGATGAGATGTATGACGTCTGGTTTGGCCCGGAGAAAGTGGTAGAGTACCTTGACAGTTTCAAAGCGCAATGGGAATTCCAGTGCTTCTTGCAGAACGTCTCCTCGTTGCTCTTGCGGACCAGGAGTGACCCACCGAACCGTCCATTGTTTCATTTTATCAGCCGCCAAGAGAGACAAATGAGCGTCAGTTCCGTCATAGTCTTGTTGGAAATCATGAATCTTGATGCGTTTCAGGGTTGGGTTGGTGGACATGGCGTGAAATGCCTTTTGTTTGTCTTTGGGGTGTACGGGGTGTATTCCATAATATGCTAGTGTCGTTAGCGTCGTATGAGCGAGAGCATCAAATACTTTGTTTTCTAGAATGTGCGTGGGAAGGTCTTCCAGAAAGATCATGGTTCTGGTGGACAAGTGAATGCTGAGATGTCGTATGGATGTTCCTGGATTTTGTACAAGATCGTGTATGGCTTGAACCGCATCTGTTTGTAGGAAGGCATCTCGTATAATGAGTAGGTGCAATGCCACAAATTGCAAGGAAGTGGAAGCTTGTAGACCAGTGACGAGTGCCTGTATGGCTTGATTGTGATTTCCGGCTCCAAAGACCGAAACCTCCATGGCTTCTATTCCAGTATGATTGGCTAGCCATGTCTGAAAGGGTTTGCTTTCTTGGGGTGTACAAGATTGCTGAATCCTGACGCTGCAGTGTGTGAGTCGAGTGCTTGTATCTTGAAAGGTACTTCGGGGGGAACTTCCCAGGGCCAAATCAAAGGATAAGCTGTTGCTGGTTCCCAGGACACTTGGATCCAGCATTTCCATTTCAGCTGCCAAGGCATCTGCATCGTATTGTTCAAAGGCTACAAAGTTACTAGTATCAGTATCAGTATCAGAATCAGTACAGGCAAAGAGCCAACATTCTTGACAAAGATTGTAAAACTCGTGGCGCATATTTCGGTACCGGATCCCCGTGATGGGGGAAACGGAACACAGTTTGCAATCAAAGCATTCATGGATAACCGGTACAACAGACATTGCACAACTAGCTATCTATCTTACTATAGTAATAGTACTAGTACTGAGTACTACTGAAACTGGAGGATACCAGTAGCTTAGAGGAGTTGACAGTGGCTGGCTGGTCGATGATGGCTGATGGCTGAGACTTCAGCAAGGAAAAAATATGTGCGAAGATCCAACTTCGGATGATGGGGTACATGTATCCATGTGTAATAGCAATAATAATGCAATACTGGTAGTGACGTCAGCATAAAAGGTCGCAACGAGCCCAAAGCATTCTTCCGTTGCGCACACCAACACCTTCCAACCAATGACAGCTGGCAAGACCAACAGACCAACAGACCAACCCCCGAGCCGCAGGACTTCTATGGAAGATAGTTCCTTCATTCTCACAATCCAAACATCAAACACAAATCAACACTTGGAGTTGCTTTTGCTTTTACTTTTACTTTTACTTTGTCTGCTGATCCAAAGTCCTTCCTATTATTGGGTGGTGATTTGTGGGTATACAGGTATACTGGTATAGGATATTGGGTACAGTATCAGACTGCTGCAATCTTTTCAAGGATGATGCTGAAAGATATCTGGCTGTTGCTCCTGCTATATACAAGTGTACTGCATGTATTAATAGTCAGTGCTGGTGCTACATGTACATGTACAGGTACAGGCAATAAACAGCCAGGACCACTACCAGTACCAGTATACAGGTCGGAAGCATCGAAAAAACAAAAGACGAGCATTTCCACCAGAGCTTCCTTTTCTGATCTTGGCTTGAAAAATTTCCCAAGGGGTGGAGATTCCACTGCTATAAGTAGTAAACCAGTGCTGGCATCCACCACTATCACTGTTACTAGCAATGACAAGGACAATGCCAATGCCAATGCCAATATTCAGCAACTGATCCAAGTTGTGGATGTGGTCCAACTTCGACCACTCTGGAAATGGACACTACGACTGCTGGCTGTCTTTGCCGTTTTATCTTTCTGGGAAGCATACACCACAGTGGGACTCCCTTTTGCACAAGCTATCTGGGAATTATTGCATTCGGATAATAGTATGCAGAAAATGCCAGATGACTACTTACCATCATCACAAGATATACGCATTGCCAGGACTTTGGCAGCTGCGGGACAAGCTACTTTGCCCAACCAGGATCTACCATCTTTACCAGATACTCTCATGGCTGTTCTAAGTCTCGGCCTGTACATCATCCTGCACTTTCTGGCGCCAACGTGGCTCAAACTCAACCTGGCATACAAACCACTCTCTCCTCAGCACGCCACAACCAAAGGAAACACCAAAAGCCTTCTACTAGAAGCACTACAACAACAGCAACAACCTGCAAGAGACATCGCTGTACTTGTCAGAGTCCAAACGATACCGAAGAAGGGTGGAGAAGGGGGAAGACTATACACGAGCATTCGTACACTCTCCGAAATGAAAACAGGAGAGCAAACGGACAGCCAGAAGGGTGGCACAAAGAAAAAGAAAAATATGGCAACGCCCACTTTTACCTTCCAGATAGGCCCACAAAGCTTTCAATGGAATCCATCCAACGACAAACTGATACCTGTAGCCGTGACCACGACCGTGGATTCCAAGAAGTAAAAAGAAGCGTCAACCCAACAAAACGAACTCCACGATTATTGCATCAATTGCGACCGACCCAGAGGGGAAGGCATGCAGTAGCAGACTGAGCAACGCAACCTGCTCGATCGTAGACGATACCGCTCCCAGTCAGCTAGCCCACTCCAGCCACTAGTACGAAGTATCACCCTGACAAACAGCAAAACTCTAATGACGTCTCGTTTTGTACATTCTAATGTGTATGTGCATTGGTTTTCTTCTCTCTTGGACGGTACGTTTACCGGTACACGTCCATTCAATTCTGCTCGATTTCGATGATGGATCATTCAGAGATCTGGAAGGTGAAATGGCTCCAAATCCAAATCACTGTAGTTCGCATCCACAGTATCAGTATCAGTACCGCCGCCGCCTTGGCTCTGACGATACGGTTGCACGATCGCAGCGTCCTCGTTGCCACTGGCACCCTCGAAAATGTGATCCAAGAACTCCTTTAGTTCTTGCCCGGAAGCCACCGCCCCTCGAGTCCCTGGTGTACCGATATTAGTAGCAGCCGCCTTCAGCTTGCTGTTGGGGTTCTCTTGACGCGCGTCTCCCACAATGGGACGAGATATCGTAGAGAGCCCCATCGTGCAGCCTTGACGGAATGCCTCCTCCATAGCGGTGGCATCAGACTTATTGTGATCCACGCCGACGTGCTGCTGTTGGTGGAGCAACGACAACATGGACTTCTCGGATCTGGCAATTGCGGTCGAAAACATGGATTGTTCCCCAACCAGCAACCCACGAAGAGACATTCCCGAAGATGCGTTGGAGCGTCCCTGTTGTCTACCATCTCCCATGGCCATGACTTGGTTGGAAGATGAGGCAATTGGTTGGGGCTTGTTCATCAAGGCTGGCAAGGCGTAAAAGTCGGGTTCTCTGCCTCTTGCGGGTTTTCGCGGCCCCGTACCTGCATGGCAATCAATGGACAGCCACGTGTGAGCCTATATATATGATGGGGTCAGGGCATGCTGGGCAGTCCCCAGTGTACAAGAATGTAGAAGCTACTTACCCTTGAGCTTTTGGCGCGGGATCTGTGCAGCCAAGTCAGGATGTCCTCTCAAGAAGTTGGCGTGGTAGTAGCCTGTCAGAAGTGGAGTGGGCGGCACATACATAATTTGAGACGAGCCAACCCCATTGAGCCCAAGACTGCTGCCGGCGTGAATGCACACATAGACACCCCTTTGATGTCCTTACCTCCTTTGTCGGGCCCCGTGGACAAGCGTCGAAAGCCATAAAGGTTAAGCTGGGAGATGCAGGAAAACGGGATCTGTGAGCACCATGTTGCTGGCCATTACGATGCCATAGCGCCAGTGATGTGATGGCTGAGAGCTGAGAAACACAATTGCATGTAGATCTAATTATCTTCACTGACCTGTCTCTGGAAGGAAGCATAGCTGGTCATGGTGAAGAACCAACTGAATACAGCAATACAGCAATGCAAGCAAATCAGAATTTTAGAATCAGAATGAGAAGCAATCAGAAAGCATCCCAGTCCATTCTGCATACCGGTACAGCAGTCAGCAGTCAGCAGTCAGCAGTCAGCAGTACATACCTAGGAAGGACTTCATTGATGAAACGATCCCTGTCATTCACCATGAAGAGACGACCATGGGGTCGCCAGGTTACGATATCAACGTGACGGCCAGTGAGGTTGATCGAAGAAAGCATGGCATGGAGCCTGATGGGGAAGGATGCATTCTGGAGGGAGCCACCACGCAGAGGGAAAGATGATATTGATGCAGCAAAGGTGGTTTCCACCAGGCTGCTGTTGCTGGCAGCGGTAGCAACAAACTTGGAGACCTCCATGCTCTGCTTTCTATCTACCATTCTTTCAACCTTTTGTGGAAATGGGTCTCCAGATGGCAAAGTGTCAATATCAGAAAGCTAGCTGGAAAGCTACTCAGCAAAGCAGCAAAGGGCGAAGGCTACCGAATGAATGAAGAGGAAGCTTTCCAGTGTATCTGTGCCTGCCAGTTTTCATTGGTTTGGAAAGACACTTTCGCCGGAGGAGTTCTCATCGTGGCATAAGCCAGTTCCAATTGAGAGTGAAGGCATATTTTGGTGTCGTCTGGACATAAAAGGGTTTTGCACTGTCCCAGAAAGAAGTTTTCCAAGGAGCCAGGGAGATTTAAATAGATGTACAAGTTCAAGCTGCGAATTAATTCCCTGTAAGTTGTGACGTGCCTCCTGAATCATGATCTCTTGATGGGTACGCTCTACCGGTACCGGTCTGCAACAAGGTTAGAAGATTAGCTAGCTAGTAGCTAGCTTGTGCGTACCGGTACATGTACAAGCTCATGTAGAGCACGAAGCAATAACGGAGAACGGAGAACGGAGAGGTCTGGGTAAGGATTGCCGACGAAACTTCGAGCAACTTGGTTCAACTTCTCACACATGGCTGCCGTACCCTTTGTTGGCTTCTGCAGTCTGCAGCTAACCCATGAGGAGTTTTGGTGGCAGCTGTTGGCTCCTGTTTCCAATCCCTTTAGTTCCTGGTGCTTCATGTTTTCACTGGGATAGCTCTGGGGAAGTCTTGGATGCAGGATGCAGGTTGAAGCTAATCCCGTACCAGCTGAGAAACTGGCCTTCTAAGGATCGGTTTACCTTTTGAAGTCTTGCGTGTGACAATATTCCAATGCGGCGTCGACGTGTTGACAAAGTAAGCCAAGTTCGTTCGCATTCGATTCATCCGGAAACTTACTAACTCACTTATGTCTCGCTCTGACCTCACAGCAACACCTGTCCCACCTCCCACACTCAGCTTTGGAGCACATGAATTTTCCAAAACTAGCTAGCACCTGGTTAACCAGTACTATCGTACTGTCGCATTTTACGATAAAGCTCTAGCTCTATATTTAGCTAGAAAAGGCTACCCAGCTGGAGCGGCCCTGCCTTACAAACCGACTTGCCACTTGAGTCAGAGTCTATGCGCCTGAATAGTCGTTCAGTAGGTACATGTAGGGCTGATAATAGGAAGAGAGAGAGAAAGCTCGAGAGTGAGAGAGAGAGCTGCTGGAGGCCACCTGGTTTGCTTTGCTCTTTGCGCAGGGATTGGCTTCACTTCCTTCCTTCTGGCTCAGGAAAGCACACAGGCATCACTTGCCAGCATACCGGTTACCGGTGGTTGTCTTCAATAATGAATAAGTGATGGAGGTTTGACCATTACATGTACGTCAGCACCCACGATGCACAGTTGCCTGGGTTTTCAAGAATGGTACACTGTAATGTACTTCTACCGCTGCATGCAGAAACATGATTTATTGAAGATGTTCCTTGGCATCTGTTACTGCAATCATACTGATAGTCATAAGAAGGGACTTTCTTCTTCCCAAGAAACGCTCGAATACCGTACGGTACATTTAAAGTATGGTAAAGTCATTGGTTGTTACTCGCATCTCGCATTAGCATTATTGAGGAGGCGAGAGGTCGTCGCAAGCTCAGCTGGATACGCATGAACATGTACAAGTATGGTAAAGGCATTGGTTGTGACTCCCATTAGCATTCATTGAGGAGGCGAGTGGTCGTCGCAATGAATGGCACAAGAATTCGATTGAATAAACAGAAGATGCTTAGATGATATTCAACTGAATCATTTAAAATGTAACGTATTGGCTATGGATGCCATTCATTTGGAGCAATTGTTTGAGGCCCGAGCACCCGCCATCTAGCTATTTTGTATCTCTAGATCCCCTTGGGCCACAACTGCCTCACCATGTACCTAAACGTGACAGCATACTTCCACGCACTGTCACCCTAATCCACCGCAACTGTCTTGACCTGCACTGCTGCCGGCACACCTCTTACTGATAGCGGTAGCAGCCTGGGTATTCGCGAGCACCACGTGTTAAAGGAAGTGGTTCAAAGTCGATACGGAAATCACCGTAGATTCCTGCCTCCACGTTTTGTCCAATGCACTCATTGGAAACCATAGTATCAGATTCTTCAACACCACGAGCTCTATCCTCGAGCATGAGCTCAAAAAGGTCCACTTCGAGACCTTCTCCAACCGAAATTGGGTTCTCGGATTCCCAAGGCTGTACGAACGAGTGCTCTTGATTCATAGAAGAGACGCGGTTACGTGCATCTTGAGGATCTCTCTGCTGCGCACTGTTTGTAGGCAAAGCATCCATCTCGGCTGCAACAGCCCTAGAGAGCACAGAGGGGTCATTGAATAAGAGCCTTCGGAGGGTCATTCCTCCCATGGGAGACTCGTGAATCTGAGGAGGGGAAAACACAGCGGGAGGAGCTCTCTGAGGCTGGGGTGCTGCCAAGGTTGGCATCGCGTAAAAGTTAGGTTCATTCTCGGGAGTGGCTGGTTTGCGGGGTCCTTTGCCTGCGCAGCAATGAAGCAACACAATCAAACCGTGAGGGGACAAAGAAGGCAAGCAACCCTGAAAGGAACAGACCTGACTTGACGAACACATACCCTTGAGCTTCTGGCGTGGGATTTGAGTGGCCAACTCAGGATGTCCCCGCAAGAACATCTCATGATAGTAGCCTTGGTGCAACAAGAAGAAACCAAACATGTGTGAGATGGCTATGAGACCAAGAAACCGGATTCTCTTTGATGCTTGTGGTACAGTACCTCCTTTATCAGGCCCCGAGGACAAGCTTCGAAAGCCATAGATGTTAAGCTAGGAGATGAATGAAAATGTGATCTGTGAGTGGCATGCTGTTGGCCATCACGCTACCATAGTAATGACTTTGAGACAGTTCCCTTCACTCACCTGTCTCTGGAAAGAAGCGTAGCTGGTCATGGTGAAACACCAACTGAATGCATGGGTAAGAGGAATGAAAGTAGGGTGATGAGTGCTGGATAGAGGTTGGTTGGTTTGGTTTGGGAAGCCCAAGATGCATCTTTCTTCAATCTTCAATCATCTTCACTTACCAAGGAATGACTTCATTGATGAAGCGGTTTCTATCGTTGACCATGAAGAGACGACCATGTGGTCTCCATGTTACGATATCAACGTGACCGCCAGTGAGGTCGATCGAAGAAAGCATGGCATGGAGCTTGACAGGAAAAGATGCAAGCTGAAGATCCACGTTGGGGTTGGGACCCTGCTGCGATCCAAAGGTGTGAGTATTGGTGTTCACTTCTGCAGCTGAAGCATGTGCTTCTACACCAACATTACCGGTACCCATGGCGGAGGCTGCAGGCATCGGGACCACACATAACGCGACAGGGACTCTCCCAGGGCTCATGACACTAGAACCAGCATTAGCCATTCTCAAATAGAGGTTTCTTTTCGTTTGGAGTAAATGTTGGTGCCAGTTTTGTTTCCGATGCTTTGTGTTGTGAGAATCGAATCTGATGCAGCGGAAAAGGAGCTTTTTTCGGAAGAACGCAGGAACGGCCAACAACCAAGCTGCACGACATGTAAACCGTGAGTGAATATGACCATACTGTACGCTTTATCGGCACGCCGACGTGTGTTCTTTGTTCTCTGTCAGCTAAATCCAGAACTCACAAACCCTACCAACTTCATGAATCCAGAACTCGGAGGACGCGACTCCACCGGACAACCAGAAGCAGAAGTAACTGGTTTCTTTTCTATATCAGGGATGGGGTATTTATATTTGTTTCTGTTTCTGTTTTTACCACATCCTGAAAGTATACAGAACGGTTTTTCTCCGATATGAGACTTCCATTGAGCCTACCGGTCGGTATCATACCGATACATGAATGCAACATAACCCTGTTAATAAAAACTACTAAAGCTGTAGTAAGTCTTCCGATTGGAAGAGCTGGGTGTGGCGTGGTGAAGTAAAGAATAGGCTTTTGGTTGTTTTTCATCTTGGTTCCATTATGCCTTTAATTAATATATTTGCATACTGTACGTGTCATATATACGGTCACAAGGTACCGGTACGTTCTCGTACACACATACCGGTAGGCTGGTATCGGTAGCGGTGATAATAATGTGTGGTTGACATAGAGATAGGTCACCGCACACCACAAGCAAGCTTCTGGTTATGACGTCACTGTCTTCTTTTAGTGAAATAAAATCAGAACGCGCCTTCTGTCGTCACTAACTCTTCTGTGCTGTACGGTACACGTGTACTTGTGGAAGTCAGCATAGTTGTTATTACAAGTAATTAAGCAAGTGGTCTCATGTTAGGGTTAAGAGTCTTTATTTGTCTACGTCACTCTACCACCAAGACAACTGATGCGAAGATCTTGCTTGAATGGCAATCACAATTATACAGCAGCAAAGATGAATGGAGTGATGAGGTTGTTATCTGATCTTTATGAAGATCCCTTGATTCTGCGACTAGCTGGATACCTGTTGGTGTGTCAGTTGGTTTTGACCGTTTTTTTCAAGTTTGTTCCGTTGGAAGGTCCTTGGAAGCAGACAGCGTTGTTTTCTGGGAAGCAAGTGATTGTGATTGGATTGATGGTGTACCAGACTTACTTGGGATTTGTGTACTGGAGTCAAGAGGAATATGACTATGGAGTGAATCCTCCGTTGGCCGTGGTAGAAGAAGATGTGAAAACGTCAAAATGGGACGGAGGAACGTTCATGGCCCGACTGGTCCTAGGCACCTTGCTATATGACATCCCAGTGGGCGCATTGACTGGCAGTGTGGATGTCATGATGCACATGCACCATTTTGGAATGTTCACAGTGGCTAGCATTGCCATGGGCATTTGGACCCAACCGCACGCTCCGCTCTATACGAGATACTGTCCCTTCTTCTTTGGAGTCGTTGAACTTTCTTCTATCCCTCTCACCATTGTGGACATTTTCCATCCCAAAAAACAACCAGAATGGTTCCAATTCGCGCAGAATCATCCTATCATTCTACAAATCAATGAAATTGCTAGAATCTCATTTGCCATCCTGTACATTCTGCTGCGCATGGTGTACTTCCCACGAGTCATTACAAGACAGGTGGTGCCAGAAGCATTGGCTAAACTCAACAATCCACAAAATGAACATTACAAGATACCCATTCTCGTTGGTCTCATTTTCTCAGTCCTATTCACACTCCTACAGCTTTACTGGGGGGTACTCATACTCAGACAGATTTCAAAGGCTGTCAGAGGAGGAGATACCAGTACTGCTACTGCTACTGCTACTGCTACTGGTACTAGCAACACAAACAACACGAAAGACAAGACCAAAGTCAAGGCAAAAATCAAGTCTGTGTAATCAGTCTTGCAGAAATATTATTCACAATTGCATGGACGTTGTAGGAAAACTTTTACGGAAACAATCAACAGATCCATCAACCAAGATATAGCTATACCGGTATTGAAGAGAGCAGCACATATTATTACGAATTCAATCTACTCCAATCAAAATACGAATCATAGTAGGAACAATCTTATTAATATCACGGTAGCAGCAGTTCGTTTCCTACTTTGGTTCTGCCAGCTAGTTGTCGTTTGATCAGCGGGGCCTCTGCCGGTAGCAGCGTCTCCGCTACATAATCCCATCTCTTCTTTCTGCAACTACAATCGTACTAGCAATCTATTATAGCTATTACAGGAATTGATCTTCAGTTCGATTCATCATTCTTCTTACGGCGTTGGCACCAACCCTTGTGAGCCTAACCATCCCGACATTACCTCAAGCTAGCTAGAAGTTCATCCATCTCGGTTCTGGGACTGACTGACTACGGTCGTAGAGTCTAGAATCGAATCTTCAATCAATCGATCGATTAGATTAGATCGATTTGGGATCTTTAAATCCCAGGCGCGTTTCAGAGAGTACTAGTATCAGCCTCAGAAAAGATCCAAAGATCCAAACAGCAGCACAGCAGCACCCTTCGAACTCATACTGCAGTTGGCTCTACCGGTACCTGTATCGAATGATTGAATGATCTGTATCAGGTTGTCGTTGTTGCTAAGGGTAGTTGTTCTATTTGCGTATCATTTTGTGTCTGCCATTGTCATGTCGTTGCAGCTGGGATCATCTTCCCTCAAAGGCCGGCGCGCATTGGTTTGTGCGAGCACTCGAGGTTTGGGACTTGGAACGGCCAAAGCGTTGCTACAGCTGGAAGTTGACTCTGTGGCGATCAACGGACGAACTACTGAAAGCGTCAAGGCGGCCATTGACAAACTCATTCAAGACTCAGACGATCAGTCCATAGATCAGCAACGTCTCGTTGCGGCGCCCGGAGATGTCTCCACGCAGGAAGGACGCACTGCGGTCTTGAAAGCGGCGGGACCGGTCCAAATCTTGGTCAACAATGCGGGAGGACCTCCTCCGGGAGATTTCGATTCTTTTGATGAATCCGCATGGCACGCAGCACTCGAACAAAACATGGTGGCACCACTCATGCTAGCCAAGGCTGCCATTCCTTACATGAAGGACAAAAAATGGGGACGCATTGTCAATATTACCAGTGCGTCAGTCCGGGCACCCATTCCAATCTTGTGCTTGAGCAATGGAGCCCGTGCCGGACTGACGGGAGCCATGGCAGGAATTGCCAGGCAAGTAGCCTGTGACGGGATCACCGTCAACAATGTCCTGCCGGGACAGCATGACACGGATCGATTGCGGAGCAACCACGAGACATTGGCAGCACGACAGGGTGTGGAAGTAGCTCAGGTAAGGAAAGAAGCTCAAAACAAAATACCCACCAAGTCTTTTGGGGATCCCAATGACTTTGGAGCCATTGTGGCTTTCTTGTGCACAGACCAAGCCAAGTTTATTGTCGGGCAAAATATCATGGTGGATGGCGGAGCCGCCAACATCAGTATCTAACTTATGTGTTCGGCTACTGGCTAGCTCATATTTCTTGATACTTTTGTCTAAACGTAGAAACGTAGACTAATTCAAAAGCTGTCCGTCTAACTAGTCCAGCAAATCAATCGTTACCATACCCTGTTCATGGCAAGTGACAACATTCCATGCAAGTTTGCTTTCACGATCTACAACTGTGTCACCATCTTCTTTATGGTGGCCTTTGAATACAACTCGATTCTTATCGACATCTGCAATGATGGCATGGATCCACACTCAGAGCTCCTGCGCCCACCACGGCAGCCAAACAAAGTCGATAGTCTAGTATTCTCCTCCGGCAGGGTTCTCACTGTCTTGCGAAAAGGCCACAAGGTAATCAAACACGGTATTTGCTTAGGTAACAAAGAGGTCAGCAACGCATGACCTTTAGAAACTGCTTGTCTCCTTCTAAGACAATGGACAACAAACACGTGTGGGATCCCGGAGAGCAACAACACAGAGGCACATTTTCCCACGCGCCCGCCAGGTGCATAAATAACCTGAGCCCTCAAGCAATATTTTAGTGGATGGAGCCGAATTATTCGATTATTATTCGCCTTGAGACGTGATTTCAGGATGGCGACTGCTGATGGACCCTTTTCACACAACTTCTTTTATAAGACCAAAGAGCACGTACATACCGGTAGATTAATTCCACAGCACCAAGATGTCAGGAGCATCATCTGTATCTGTATCTTTATCTGTGTCGGTGGATCTGAGTTCCTTGCTTGAAGGTCAGTCGTTTGAGGACGCATTGGTTCGATTGGAAAGTCGAGCTTTCGCACTGGATCACAACAACGGCATTTTGCAGTTCTGGTTTCGGCAAGAGGCGCCTGTAAAGTTTCTGGGTAAGATGGATGAGGTAGGCTTGACAGAGAATGATAAAACGCGGCTTGGTAGGTTTAGTACTGATAGTCCTGAAATAGCGAAACGAGTCCTGATCTCTGGAGTCTTGAAAGGTGGGAGAATGATTTCAGTCAACTCTCTTGCTTTTGCGCACGATCAACTGCATATTACCGCTAGTAAGGAAAGGCATGATACCGGGAGTAAGGAAAAGGAACTGCAGCATTGCAAGGCCGGTAGTAGCAATAACGAAGCCAGGAAGAAGGTACTACAAGGAGGCCTGCTCAGGTTCATCCTAGAAAACTACATTCCTATCGAAGATATCCAAACGTCTGCAATGCCCGTGCATCCCCACTGGCACAATGTGGGAGAATCTCTCCTCTTGCAAAAGTCGTATTCCAAGATTCCAGAAATTGACTTACAAGAAGTTCTTTACCAAGTTTTTCAAGGTGCCCGACATCACATCAACATGGCCGGAGACCTATTCTCCGAACAAGAAGAATACCAACAGTTCCTCATGGCCGGAGTACACTTGTGTGATTTGACCGCCAGACGAAACAATGCCAAGTTCATGGAACAAGTATACGTTCGAAACGATGCCATAGAACCACTTGAGTTACAAAATCACCAACCAGAACGATACCCAGGCACCAATGTTGCCGACAATCACTTTTCCGACCAGCACCTCCACTACATGAGAGCTGCCTGCATTCAACTCTCCAAACTCACCTTGTTGGAAAGTGAGGGAGATGCCGTTGCCGTTGCCGCCAATGCCGGTGTCGCCATTCATCATATCCAAGAACTCCAAAACACTCATCATCGCAGACACGTTCGGGCTATTGGCTACGCCATGCACAATGTACCAACGTGCCCTTCCCCCGGGGGACACAGGAAGAAATGGGGTGCGGCACTTCGTAGAGACAATTTACTCTGTCAGGAAATGATGGCTGCCGGAGAAGAATACTTTGGAGACATGGGATGGTTTTGGGATCCTTGCGAGGACGATTAAGTATACTGAGCAGCCATTAGTGCAGCGGCTGATAATTTACTCCGCGCAGTGACAGGAAACTACCTATAGAAACTGCTGGTATCGGTATCTTGGAAGCCACCTCCGAGATTCAAGGCCCTGAAATCGATGAATAAACATCGTTAATAGATTAAAAATACTAGATCTATAGAAAGCGATGTCCATTTTTTCGCGTGAACAGACGATTGGTGCGTTGCGTGGCCCGTTCGCAACGATTGCTTAAAAAAACAGAGTGCGCCTATAGGACAATGTGTAACAAGGTAGATCTTTAGAAGATCTTTGCCATGCATGGAGGACTTCGATTCTATGGTCAACAGTTAGTTGACTAACCACCAAAAGGAGAGAAGAAACTAGAGACTCGGTAAGGCAAACAAGCTTTATCAGACGTATCAAGCTGCTCGGGCAGAGAGCACACAGCATTGGTTGGAGAATCGTGAATACGACCCAAATCCACGACTTGGACCGCCAATGCGTTTTGTCACACATGCACCCCACAATCGTAATTCAATCCGTCGAGGACTCGTCTCTGAGATATTGATTTGGTGTTGCAGCGACAATGGACCTGGTGGTTCGTAGTATTGAGCTATGGAGGGCCAGGCGGGAACTCTCCGCCCTGATCTGGAAGAGGCGAGACTACATAGTCAAGCAGATTGACCCACCAGACAAATGCATCAGTCTCCTTCGGGCGCATCCTCAGTTGGCAGGAGAAACCTTCCGATGTCACAACCCAGTTTATGAGAAACAAGTTTACCCTCTATACTTCCTCTTGATCTGCAATGCCAGCGTCGACTTGATCAGGGAAGCCTATGAAATGTTCCCACTTGCTGCCCAGCACAAAATAAAGGGAAACTTTGACCAGACTGACTATCTTCTAGCATGTGGAATGCTGAATGTAAACGAAGACTCCATGATGTTCTTGGCCAACGCTTACAAACCAGCTGTTTGTAGCCCCAATTCGTCAGGATATCTTCCGATTCATGTGTTGATGCAAAATCGTCATCATGTCCCCACTCGTAAGGTCTTGCTGACTTTGCTAGATCTATACGAGTCCGAGCGAAGCAACCAGGAAAATGACAAAGGCATGATGCAGCCTGTCTCGATGAATTTGCTGGGTTGCCGTGTACGCACCGGTAATAGCCGAGACGAAATCGAGGCTCTTCGAGCACCCTTGGCGCTGGCCATCAAACGCAACTATGTCAGCAAGGATGCCTTGGAACTCCTAGTTCAAAGATTCCCGAAAGACTGCAAAACATTGAGATTGGGGCGGGTGACCACAGCGCGGGAACGCCATCACATGATCTACACGCTAGGACAAGAATCCAACTACAGATTCACCAAAGAGCACGTCATGGCCATTGCCAATCTCCTTCCGCAGTTGGAAACTCTGTGCTGCCCAGCCAGAGAGTGGCGCCCAGGGGCCTTCAAGGAGCTGATCGGGCTTCTATCCGGTAACAACAACGGGCCACAGCGTTCTTCTGTTAGAGATCTCACGATCCGTACTCCCCCAACCAACCGATTCTCTGCTCCGGACCACAGCGCACTAGAGCGTCTCTTGGCGCATAACACTACCCTCCAACGTTTACATATCGACTTCGGCGGAGGTTGTCCTGTATCGTTCTCCTATGGAATTAAACGCTTCGTGGCCTTTCTGCTAAAAGGCTTGCGCCACAACCGAACTCTGAAGGAGCTCCGTTTGACAGGGTTCGCCTCTGATACCCCACCAGACCTTCTTCATAAACTGTTGTGGCCAGGGCTTGCCGTTGTGCTTCGAGAAAATTTGACCTTGTCGAGAATTGATGTGGATGATGAGGTTGGTCCCGCTGGCGCTGCATGTGCAAGCAGGAAACAAGCCGAGTACTTGGCAATGCTCAATCGATATGGACGAGCACAGTTCCGCGAGCCTTCCTTCAGCCTTCCAGAGATAGTGCCATTGCTCAAGTCGGTCTGTGGCATGGTGGAAATCCTCTATGGTCTCCTTCGCGAGAATCCCAGTGTTTGGACTGGGGCCATCAGCGACGCCGGCCAGCACTTTAGAAGGATCTAGCTGCACGCGGATTGTTTTTGATAAATTCTACAGAGCGATGCTATAGACTTTTAGTTTGCCCTTTTGCTCCTCGGTCTGGCTTCTTCCTGTTGTGTTTGCATTATCCCCGCATGTCCCAAGCACGACCACATCGCGCACGCATCATTTGGAATCCAACAATGGTGTCATTGCCGCGTTTCTCCAAAGATTCCTCTCCGTGACCTGATTCTTCTTTCAGCCTTTTCTCCAAAAAGCACTTTCTTGGCTAGACACTAGTCCCATTGAAGTCGTTCAGCATATGAGCGACAGCACGTCCCCCGTGCTGCTTGACAGCTTCTTTCCACAGGTTGCCTTCCGGAAAGTAATCCCAGAACCAGGAGTCCCCACCGGCGACCTTGCGATAATAGCGTCTCCACCGTATGAGGTAACCTGCTCCCAAGAAGTACTCTCGTATTCTACCTTTTGCTGTGTTTGGCATTCGTGCTACGATCTTTGATTCAGCTTGGTATGGCTCCCGTGGCGCCAGCTGCAGGTTCATGTCGCTGGGCTGCAAGTCAAAGCTTTCCCAAGTGTTGTAGGTCCTTATGGAGGCAACGTCACACGGGCGAATATCCGGATGACTGCCCACCCAGAACTCCGCGGAGTATCGACCAGTCCCCCAGGTACTATGGTGCGTTGCAGGATAAAAATTGCAAGTTCGAAAAGTGAGGAGGCAGCATACGCAACAATATCCAAGCATTTCTTTAGAAAATGCATGTACCGGTACTCACCTTGGAAGCTCTGGGAATAGGTTGACTTCGAGCTTTCCGCGCTTTTGCATCTGTAGAACTTTCTTCCTATTTGTGGCCGACATATCCCTGAAGTTGTACGGATTGAGTAGGTCTTTGATATACTGGCATTGTGCAGTCCAAAAGTTTCCCGGGAAGAAGGGCCCCGACTTCCACGGAGAGAAGGAAAGTCCACAAATGTTGCATTTGTCATCGGCCAAGGCAGTATGGCACTCCTTACTTGAAACAGCAGTCGTCATGCTTCTCCGTAAGTGTACAGAGTTTCCCTTTTGGGTGTGATAGCTACCTTTATTGTGAATGTAAACGACTTGCTTGTTGATATTTTCCTCTTGTCGACAATAGAGGCGAACGTCTCTGAGTGTGTGAAACTCGAATCCCTCCGTGTAGTGCTTGGTGTGTTCACATTGCATATGGTTGTTTGCGCAAGTCTGATTCATGGCTGCTTCGTCAATGGTTCTGTTGCCAATGGTGTTGTAGTATACTTGCACCGATTCCGACATGTTGCGAGCTCCGGAATGTCCAATCTGTTCGAGTTGCTCTGCGACGATTGCCGTGCTCCTGTTTCCTCTTTCTTCATCCGGCAGAAAGATGTGGTAAAAAACTATCAGTTCCTTCTTGGCTTTCCCCAGCGGGACGACCGACTTGTGGGATCCTCGGGTGTGTTGCTTGTGATCGTGTGTTGCTCGTGCAATCACGGGCACGGGATCTCTGCTAACATCGTCAGTACTAGTAGTAGTAGTAGTGTTGCCATCGGAAGCAATCGAAACCGAATTGGAAGATCCACGGAAGGAATTCGGAGGCATCTGATGATTGTGATGAGGGCTCTCGGCCGTGAACGTTTCCAGTAAAGAACGTTTGCTCGAATTGGCGTGCAAGAGCAGTTTGGTCTCCCACGAGAGCTTGGCCAGCAAGAACGACAACATCATCATTACTGTCAAAGCTGGACGGCTAATGCCTCTTTGGCTTTTCCCATTGCGATGCCTCATCCTCCACTATGATAGATACATGTAGTGCAATCGAGGTGGAAACACAAACTGGACAAAAACAGTGATCATTGGTTCTCGTAACCCATCCTCGGTTTCGCTGAACCTCGCAAAAGAGAAAAATTGGCGTGCGAAGCGTTGGGTCGTGGGAGTCAGTTTGATCATTAGGGTTAAGGGGAAACACTTTTACCTCCATTTTTGGAACAGGTTTTAAGTCAGCGGGAGCTGCGATACCTCGGCAGAAAGACAGATAGAAGAAGGAGGATCATGTTTGAGATTGCACCCATCTTTCAAGCCAGCCCTGGCGACAACACCCGACTACGTCGTGTGTTGCCGCCCGGTATCATTCATTCCCTCATTGCAACCTTCTTTATTAAGCTAGCCCTGGCGACAACACCCGACTACGTCGTGTGTTGCCGCCCGCTACTCTATATTTTACCAGCTGCCATTCCCTTATTGTAACTTAACCTTTACAACTCCTGCTGGCTTATTGTGCTTTGTGCTGATTGCACTAACCTTAATATTAATGATTTATTCCTACCCCTAACTTGTATTGAACCATAATGTTCAGTTTTGTTGGCTTATGGCTATCTCTATCCTTATACTTTGGCTTCACCGAAAGGAAATAGGAAATTCGGCTTTTTTCAGCGTTGTCTCCTGTTTCCTCAGTTTGCGCTACTTGGATCATATGACGAATACATGCAATCCAAGCATTGTGGCCAGCTCTAGGTATGCGGGTAGAGAGTTACATCGATCCGTACAGTGGCAACAGTACGAACACACTCAGGTTCGCTTTATGCTACACTCGGTTACCTCGCATGGATCCTTATGACGAATACATGCCAAAACCGAATATTGTTTAATCCAGCCATGGTAGCCGGCTACCGAACAGTTACATCGCGACATGTCAACAGTACCGAACACTCAGGTTCCGCTTTCTGGCTACACTCCGCTGGGTATCTTGCATTGGATCCTTGTGACGAATACATGCACAACCGAACATTATGAATCCACTCATTGTAGCCGCTGCGTATAGTACATCGACGACAGTGGCACAGTACCGAAAGTTCGGCTTGCTGTTACGTACCTACTGCATTGGATCCTTATGACGAATACATGCACAACCGATATTGTAATAGCCATTGGTTGTTGCTAGTAATACTCAGTTTATTGGGGAGTAATTTTTTTTTAGATTAAGCTGAAAACAAAAGTGAGGATTTCTGGTGGTGCATTAGCAATTCTTGTGATTGGTAATTGGATATAAGGACCCCGCACACTTTAGACCTAAAATCCTGGTTCCTTGCATGATCAATTTAATGCGAACCGGACTAGATGATTAATACACGAGTCAATAGTAAAGAGGTGTCAGGTATTTTCCTCCAACACACTCCTGCACGGTGCCCTAAGTGGCTACCGTGGAAGAAAAAAATAATAGGCAATCAAACAAGGGTGGATGCCCCATGATGAAAGCCCTGTCTCGTGGAAGAGCTTGCCTTGAAGGGCTTGTGAAAAATCTCCACGCATCTCCAAGGTTGGGCGTACACAACTCTAAGGTTGCTTTTCCAATCTGGTCATGAATTAAAAAAGAAAGAATGTTGATAGCCCGAGTTCTTTTGCCCGAACTGCCTTTGCCATTTTCTGCAAGATGATCGTGTTTTGTTGTCCTGCATAGGATGTTGTTGCCTTCACAACGATCCCCTGCTCTTCAAGGAACAACTTTGCCACAACATGGGCGACATGAAATCGTCAGCTCCAATCAATTCCGCTTCGGTGCTGCTCCTCGAATTCAATTTCTTTTCGCAGACACAGACAGCACCGCCCATCTTCCAAAGGACATGACTCCTCTGTATGGGAACGGTAATCAGGATGGCATGCAAATGATGCGTCCACCCCCAAGTGATGATGCGTATGTTATCAATGTGTAGGATCAACTTGTCCTGCGCCGTCTGATCAAAAACTTGAGCCTTGGACCAACTTGTCCCAATCATCAGATGATGGGCTTCTGACACGAGTGCATAACACATAGTGAGAGTCTGACATCTGGTCGAGCACGCTGCACAGGAACAACAGCTTGGCTGCAAAGGTATGATTAGGTTTCTCTGTTCTTGTCATCAGGATGGTGCCATCACCAAAGCTGAATAGGTCAGCAGGAGCTGCACTTGTACCTTTCTCATTGCCCCAAAGTCCACTGGAAACTCTGAGATCATTTTCTTGACATAATCTATCATTCAATCACAACCTTTCCTGGGTTGGAAAAATCCACCGTCATCCCAAGTAGTCATGCTTGTACCCGGTTGCCTTACGGCTCCATAGGTTCCATACCTAGCGTTGAACCATTCCAGAGTTTGGTTGTTCACAAACTTCATTCTGTGGCTTGACATTAGGTCGTCAACATGAAATCGGATTGTTTGTTGGTTACCCCGCCGATCATGCGGTTGGCCACACAAGGATCGTATTTGTTGAACACAAATCCAATTTGTTCGAGTCGCTCCTGAAGAGCTTTACCAAAGAGTGCTGCCAAACCATTCCGTAATGGCTCTTTCACAACGACATAGAGGACTGGTCGTCCTTTTTGTATGTCAGGAAAGAGGCGTATGTGTCAGGGTCAATTTCAACAAGTAAGTCTGAGGGTTCCCTCAATATATGAGGACCCTGTTTAACCTTGTTTGACTTCTGGCATTGGGGTTTGGATGAACGCATTGGGAAAACCAGGGACATCACATCCCTATCTTCAGATGCATCGACACACATGGATAACATCAAACCCTTCAAGTGAATCTGTTGGACTTCTGGCATCTTCTTTCTGATGTACACCCTTGTAGTTTCCCATTGTGAGACTGCACGGGCCTTGACAGTGCCATCCTTTTCTCACTCACAAACTGAGTGCCATTTGTCCTTTTTCAATTCAGATCACTGCATTTGTTTGGGCGACTGGACTGAAACACACTTGCTGTGTAGCTGGTCCATCTCTCTTTGAGCGCCGCCTTTCTGCTTTGTTGCCCCACTTTCAGACCCTTGGGTAGAAGATGTTTGTTGGGCGTGGCTGCTCTCATCCTTGACTTCTGCTGTGGCACTCCTGTGATTACAGGAGTCCATGAACAAAGCTAGATGTTGCTTGTCTCTGTCCCATACAGTAGTGGTTTCTTCGCTTCGTCATCTTGGATGAAGGTACTCCTTTCTTTGCTTCGGCCTGTGGCGATCCGAGCTGAGCGTCTAATTCCAACTCGAGAAGCTTGAAGCCTTGCTGGTCCACGAGGTTTCTCATCATTGTATCCACTGTCTGGTGCCGTCTCTTCAACTGTAGGGTTGTTCTGGACTTGTGCTTGTTGGGATTCCTTGGAATCCCCTTCTCTTCTTCATCGGAGTCATGTCTGTGGCATACTGTTTGGAGGCCCTTGGTACTAGCCCTGGGGCGTTCCCATCCTCAGAATCTTAATCTGATTCCGTGGATTCCACTGATCTTCGTCCGAGAGTCTCCATCGACTTGGAGGTAGCACTCATTTCCATATGAACACCATCCACAACTTCCTGCAGGCCAACCTACAGTGTAAAAATTCACAAAGTAACGGTTGTGAAAGATTAGTGGTTTCATTACCCTCACCGT